TATATATATATATATATATATATATATATATATATATATATATATATTGTGCTTTTATTTTATTTTATTTTATTACTTTTATTTATTTTAGTTATTTTATCTTTTTGTGCAGCACTTTGGAAACCTTGTGTTTATTTAAACCGTGCTATATAAATAAAGTGGATTGGATTGGATTGGATATATATATATATAATAATTATTATTATTTTTATTATCATTATTATATATTATTTACTTTTTATACTGAAAGTTGAAACTTTGCAAGAATGTGTGTTTTTTGTTGAGAAAGCATAATAATACAAACCATGGGCTTCCTCTTCCAGTCTGAGGCGCTGCAGCCTCCACATCACACAGTGAGACAGCTGACCAGAATGCTCTCTGTGCTGCTTCTGTAGAAGATGCTGAGGATGGGTGGGGGCAGGTGGGCTCTCCTCATCCTCTGCAGGAAGCACATGCGCTTCTGTGCCCTTTTGACCAGTGAGGTGCTCTTTACAGTCCAGGTGAGGTTGTCTGTGATGTGCATCCCCAGGAATTTGGTGCTGCTGAACACCTTTACAGCTGAGCTGTTGATCAGCAGTGGAGCGTGGTTAGGCCGATTATTCCTGAAGTCGACAATGATCTATTTCGTCTTCTCCACATTCAGGATCAGGCTGCATTCGATGCAGGACCAGCAGTTTCTGTAAAAGCTTTTCCCCCGCTGCCATAAGGTTTTTAAACTGTTGAAAACCCTAAGAAGTCACAAATTGAGACACTGCATCACACTGATAACATTATACTGACCTACTTGTTGAATCTTTAATCTGCCACTGATGACATTGGCCAGACATACCTGATTTGATCAATCTGTCCAATAACGAAAGACAGGAATCAAAGGAGCTGGCTGAAGTTCATGAAGGAGTGTAGTCGGGCATATAGCCCATTATGTCAGAGTTGGTCTTCCAGAGTGATTTTGGTTTTCTCAGTATTAAGGCTGCCTGAATGCTCACCTCTGTTGCATTCATGGTACATAGGAAATAACATACAAAAGCATATCCTTCTGTACATTTACCAGAAAAATAAGTTTTAGACCTAGTATGAAAAATAGGGTATCTGTCTCAAGGAGCAAAACTGGAAGTTGGTTTCACAGGATAAAAGCCTGGTAACTAAAACATCTGCCTTCAATTTCACTTTCTGAAATTCTATAATGCTAATAAACCTTAAGCTCTCATGGGAACATTACAAGCAGTCAAATCTCCAATATAAAATGGAGCTTCTTTGTTTAAGGTTTTGTACGTGAGAAGGAGACTTATATATGTTCTGGATTTAACAGGGAGCCAAAGAAGGGAAGCTAAAGTAGGAGAAATATAATCTTGATATTACATTTTAATTTTAACTCTGGCTGCAGAACTCTACATTTGGATCAGCTGAAGGCTTTTAAACAGGATTTAACTGATTCCCTGACTGTAAAGAATTATATTTGCCCAACCTTATAGTAGCAAGACTAGTTTTTCACTGTCATTCCTTAACAGGACATTTTTCCTTTTTGCAATATTCCTGAAATGACAGATGTACTTATTCGAAACCTGTTTTATATTGCATTTAAATGACAACTCCTGATAAAATATAACACCAAGAATTTTAACGGTACCATCAAAGGCCAATTTTCATGAAGACAAAGTGACAGCACTGGCAAGTAGTAACGGTCAGCTGGGAATGTCTGGCAGAGCCCTGTGAGTCAGGGACTTTTAGAGGAGCTTCTCTTAGATTGTGGGGTCCAGGGTGTACAATGCCTCTTACGATAGACTGCCAGAGATAAGAGATCGGCTCCA